GTGTGTGATTGTGTGTATGTGTCAGCGGTGGGGTGCTGCAGAGGACGGAGCAGCTCAATTTGATTACGTTGACAGTCAAGGCAGACGACACCAGGTCACCCAGTGATGAATGGCTCACGTGATGGCTTAGCACGAGAACTTGAATGAAACGTGTACGAGACTTTTTATGTTGGAAGCAAGTATTTGGTCTAAGAGTGTCAGTGATTGGTTCATTCGAAGCAAATATGGGTAGGGATTGGGTTGTGAATGTGTGTGTGTGTGGTAGGGATTTATTGTGTGTGTGTGTTACGGATTGAGTAGTGTGTGTATGGTAGGGATTGGGTTGTGTGTGTGTGGGTGGAAGGGATTGGGTTGTTTGTGTGTGGAAGGGATTGGGTTGTGTGTGTGTGGAAGGGATTGGGTTGTGTGTGTGTTGTAGGGATTGGGCTGTGTGTGTGGAAGAATTGGGCTGTGTGTGTGTGTGTCAGGGATTGGGTTGTGTGTGTGTGAAAGGAATTTGGGTTGTGTGTGTGGAAGGGATTGGATTGTGTGTGTGGAAGGGATTGGCTTGTGTGTGTGTGTCAGGGATTGGGTTGTGTGTGTATGTCAGGGATTGGGTTGTGTGTGTGTGGTAGGGATTGGGTTGTGTGTGTATGGTAGGGATTGGGTTGTGTGTGTGTGATCCAATGAGATTGTGATGTTTGTTTCCGACTTAATTGTGTGAGCGCAGACGATTTGGGTGGTTCATAAAATATCCCAGAACATGTAAGTGAAGTAAAGGAATATTCAATGCGCGCTTTATGAACGCTGGTCTCATTTTTAAAATTAACTATGAATGAGATCCAGAACTGCACTTAAAATAAATAGAAGTGGCCTTCAAACCCGGCCTTAAGCGTTTCATTTTATGCCCCGCATTTAGAAGAAGACTCGAGGGAAACTCATTTTATAGCCAAACCATCATCATTTTTTAATATTATTTTTGCATTGGACGTTGATACACTACACATAGGCTGGAATACGCTCCCAAAACACTGTCAACTGCGCAGATACTGGCGTAGGAAAGGGCGGTCGGCGCCAGGAAGTTCTTTTTTTTCCCCTCTCTATTTTGAACGGTGGAATTTCGGAAAAATCTAACCGTACAGATTACTGTGCAGGTAATATATATGAACGTATGCGAGCATTGAGAAATTGAAAGTTGACGTCTTTTAAAAAAAAAGAATGAAAGTGGTAATAACAAACGCGTTGAGGCTTGTAAGATCAAACACCTTGAGGCTTGTAAGATCAAACACCTTGAGGCTTGAAAGATCAAACACCTTGAGGCTTGTAAGATCAAACACCTTGAGGCTTGTAAGATCAAACACCTTGAGGCTTGTAAGATCAAACACATTGAGGCTTGTAAGATCAAACACCTTGAGGCTTGTAAGGTCAAACACATTGAGGCTTGTAAGGTCAAACACCTTGAGGCTTGTAAGGTCAAACACCTTGAGGTTTGTAAGATCAAACACCTTGAGGCTTGTAAGATCAAACACCTTGAGGCTTGTAAGATCAAACACCTTGAGGCTTGTAAGATCAAACACCTTGAGGCTTGTAAGATCAAACACCTTGAGGCTTGTAAGGTCAAACACCTTGAGGCTTGTAAGATCAAACACCTTGAGGCCTGTAAGATCAAACACCTTGAGGCTTGTAATATCAAACACCTTGAGGCTTGTAAGGTCAAACACTTGAGGCTTGTAAGATCAAACACCTTGAGGCTTGTAAGATCAAACACCTTGAGACTTGTAAGATCAAACACCTTGAGGCTTGTAAGGTCAAACACTTGAGGCTTGTAAGATCAAACACCTAGAGGCTTGTATGATCAAACACCTTGAGGCTTGTAAGATCAAACACCTTGAGGCTTGTAAGGTGAAACACCTTTTCGGTGGATTTTGAAATGTAAATAGAAATTGTGTTTTCCAGAACGTTACCGAAGACCCGGTAACTAATTTTTTTTTTTTTAAATTCGCCAGTTTGTGAAGTTTTGTCTAAGGATCGCATGTAACAGAAATTGTGTTTCTTAGGTTTGGAAAGCGTTGCAAAGTTTCGGAAAGTGATTCCGATTGAAAACCAAGAGCGGGGATTTTTTAATGAAATTTTTAAAAAAAATTGTTTGGTTCATTTTTTTTGTGTGTGGTAAATTGAGGGCGCTAAAGGCTCCCGAGCGAAAGGAGCGAAGTGGTCTTGACATGGCGTGGTCTTCTGTGGTTTTGTGCCTACATAGTTTTCCACGGGCCATTTCTAATATAGAATAGTGGACCTTAAAGTGGCTTTGATGACCAAAAATGATATATTGATTTGATGAATGCTATTTAAAAATCCATAATAAAAGAAAAGCTCTTTGCATCCCTCCATGAATCAGACTTAAGGTGCGGAAAATAACAAATACAATGTGCGTAATTAAGACACTGTAAATGTAAACGTGAATAGACTACTGTGCTGTTGTACCTGAGCAGAGTTTACTAGAAACTAACCTGTAGGGTCACAAGTACTTGATGATGTCATCAGGTGAGGTAAATGATCAGTAATTTTTGGTAACATTGTTATATTGTTGCTTGTGGCTATGAAATATTACTTTTTTTTTTCCTTCAGTTTCAGAACTTTTGGTTGGTTCGCTTCTTGCTTAATACCTCCCTCCCGTGGGGGGGGGGGGAGGAAAGTTACATTTGTTTCCTGTTTGAGAAGCACCAAACAGAATGTAAAACCACATCATGAAATCTGTGTTAAAAATGTGGTAATCGAAAAAATGTAACCGTGAAAAAAATGGGAGACAATGAAATGGGCGACACATCTTTCACGTCGCATGAGTTCACAGCCATCTAATCCTTTGCTACATCAACCAGTTTGAATGTAAAAAAATGCATGGCTCCTTGAATGAGTACGATTTTTTTTATTTTAAAATTCTATGCGATCTTTTTTAGTCAGGTACAACTTTTCGGAACTAACTTCATTCTTTACTGGTCTCAGAGAATGATTTATTGTACAACCTTGCATGGAACAGCCATCTCCACCATCTGGGACAGTTCTAGTCTAGTTGCAATAAGTCGCCCTCTCCAACAGTCTCAGAGAATGTTGGATTCTTGAACGGTGCAATGTCTAATGCTCTTCAAACACATTTCAGAGAATGTTGATTCTTGAATAGTGCAATGTCTAATCTTCTCCATCACTTCTCGGAGAATCTTTGATTTTTTAATGGTACAATGTCTAATTCTCTCCACACTTCTCAGAGAATGTTTGATTCTTTAATGATACAATGTCATATCCTCTCCATCACTTCTCAAAGAATGTTTGATTCTTGAATGGTACAATGTCTAACTCTCCACCACTTCTAAGAGATTGTTTTATTCTTGAATGGTGCAATGTCTAATCCCCTCCACCACTTCTCAGAGAATAATTGATATTACACAGCTAAGTGGCGTCCGGACTGAGTTCAGTAAATGTTTAGAATTTTTTCTTCTTTTTTTTTTTTTTTTTTTTTTGGCCTATCCATCTCGGGGTTTTACGCTAGTGATAATTTTCAAGATATAGTGGAGATCTCTGTCCATGTTGACATTTGGAATGTTACGTATCGATTGCCTGAGAATATCTCGTGTACGCACGTTTACGGCTAGAAGCTATTGCCTATAGGTCTGATTCAGATCATGACAACTCATACTGTCCAGGAAAAACTTTTTTTTTTTTTTTAAAGATAATGTCTGTTGGCATCATCGAAAAAATCAATAACTGAATCAAGATGTATTAAAATTTTATTTAAAATTGAAATACACATATTGGTATAATAATGTTAATATACAACGTCAACAAGCGATCTAAGACAATTAATTTACCAATGCTGTATTGATCTAGGAATAGTGAGATACAGATATTGATATGAGGTCTTATTTATCGGAAATTTTGTATCTGAATTTGAATTAGGAGAAACAATCCACTGAAATTTTAAAACACTACCTTGGGTTGGTGGGGGTATGCAACAACGTTACATGTATAATATATAGGAAGATGTGAATAGTCTTTAATAATAATAATCCCAGATGGCGCTCCATATATCCATAAACACTTAATTGTATTGAATTCATTCGCCTTTCTTTAAGGCAGTTATTAATGAGCAGTGGGTAACGAATGTGCGCATTTGTTGCGTACGACGGGGGAAGCAGCGAATGATAGAGACAGGTCTGATTAATGCATATGTCTATGTCTGTATCGGCGTGTGAGGGGAGCCGTCTCGTGTCTTTTGGAGGCGCCCCTGGTCACTGCCTGCAACATTTCGGGTTTGGCTTTCCTGCATGCACAGTTGATATGGTTAGAAACACTGTCCCCATCACAACTTTGTACCCCTTAACTTTCCGAGGCCCTCACCAGCCGCGGGGGTTGCAGGGGTCAGGTCATGGCTGTGTGTGTATCACGAACATAACCCCACCCCTCTTTTTTTTTTTTTGATCCGCCATTGCACTTTGTTTGCTACGTATTGGATTGTATTTTTCGGGAGACACGGGCAATTATCTCAAGGAATGCCCCCCCCCACCCCACCCCCACCAATGACATAAACGCTTGCTTTGCCTCTGCCCTACGAATATGAATGTAGCAATTAATATTTATATACACAAAGGCCACATGACCATACAGACGAATAAATAGTACGCGATTACTTATGCACCGGATATAACACTAATAATAGGTCTGTTACGATGTACCTACATTTGTTGGTGTTTTAAATTGCGGAAAGTATTTCCCCCAAGCAAGTCCGAATTTTCAAATAACGTTTTCCTCCATAACACCGATTGATGACGTTTTCAACGCGTCATTAGTTATTCTTCCTCATGCGTATACAACTGCACCCACACACACACAGACATTGAGGAAGCACGGCAGTGGAGCATGTTATACATAATGTTATTGTTTCTCTCAAAAGACGCTAATTTGCGTGTCTATTTAATTATCCATTCGCCGTTCAACTAAGCCCTGGGGGGGGGGGGGGGGGCAGAAAGAAAGCCCCTTCCCATTGCACTCAATAAATACGAGTCTGCGTCCTGGTCATACCGAGTGCGCCCGGATATCGATAAATAATTATTTCCAATACCCGTAATTAGATTTAAGTTCAGTTGATCTCTCTCCTATTATAGATTTATTAGGCTGCGCTCTTCTTGGTACGGATGCTTTCTTGTTTTGGTCACGGTACAGGGAGTCGATGAAAGATGTTTCTTTTAGACCGGTCCGTTCACTAAAATGATGTTTAATATCGAAGTCTGTTCGTGACACTGAGCGCGTATGCTTGGCTGAAGACATGTGAGTCGTGCTTTCTTTAACAGCTTCACTAGTTGCACCATTGGCATTGATGCATTACTTTTTAACATTTTTTTTTTGAATGCGGCGTAAGCAGGGGCGTGGTGTAGGAAGAGGGTGGTTAGGAAGGGGGTGGTGTAAGAAGGGGTTGATGTAGGAATGGGGTGGTGTAAGAAGGGGGTGGTGCTGTAAGAGGGGTGAAGGTGGCGCGGTCCACCCTGAGGCGGCACATTTGTTCTTTACATTGACGGGTGAAATTTTCGGCCAATTGCAGAGTTGTTTTTTGAAGAAGGGAGCGGAAAAAATATTGGCCCCACCTCGGCACTAACCCTAGCTACGCCACTGATTTTTGAGCCAAAGACCTCTGCGTGTTTCCAAGGCACTGGGTAGGGATAGTCATGTGATTATACCCCACAGCACCTTTTGTCATCAACCTGTGTATATGTGTGGAGCACTAACATTAGAATTAATGAATTTCTCCATCTTTAACAACTGAAGATATATGTACATGTAATCCCTCAAAGGCTCTATAAGATTCTTTTCTTATTTCTTATACTTAACATATATCCAAAATATTTCTTTTCGTAACGATCGTATTTTTCACAGTAATAATACATACAATCTTTCACTTCCTGTAACCTTGGCTTTGGAAAATCCAACTTCCTACAATAGCATTTTTTTTTTCTATTTCTTGTCCTATTTTAATTTGTCCTGTCTGCTGAGGAAGGCTCTTTGCCGAAACTTTCTTCTCTTAGTGTCCTGTCTTTTGATTCAAGCTTCCACATTCCTTGTTCTACTATTTCCTTCACAGTGCTTGAACCCGAGTCCTTCATTTATTATCTTCTTTACGATTCTAGCCTGAACTCAGTTATATTCATTATATTACTGATTCTCAGCCGTGGAAATTGCCTGCCAGGCCATGAGGCAATTAATTACACTAACTACCTGAGACCGATAATTTTGTTGGATAATGTCCATTGCTTATTTGAATGAAATATTGATCTACATTTAACGTTTACTTCTTTCTGACTATTTTAACATAATTGTATAGCGATATTCGAATACATTGTTAAGCGTACATGCAAAGCCCTCAACAATAGGCTTTGTCATTTCTAAGACCGGAAAACGTCATAGCGTACTATGTTTAGAAGGTCCGCGGACAAATATTGCTTAAAACATGGCAGCTTATAGTGTGTTTCAGCATAGCGTTTGGGCGATCCTTGTATCTAGAGTTACTGTTACATATGACGTCCACGTTTTGGAGTCGCATTTGAGAAAACAGAAGTAAAAGAAAAGTGTGTAAAATATTTCGTAAAATAGAGTTGTAAACAAGTTTCAGGGACACTTCGCTAACATAGTAATACTGAACAGTCTTGACATTTTGTCCGCGCTGAGTACCCGGATGATCAGTAATGGTGACATCAGTTCTATTAATAGATTTCCGCCATTAAATGACAAGCCATATTGTTAACATTTCTACCCTAGCTGTGTGCAAAATTTTGTTTTCTTTATTAAGCTGGAAAGTGGCTAAAAAAAAATAAAAAAAATATTTGATGTTCCCTTCCGGGTTGATTTTAAACTACTTCTCTGTACCTTAATTATACTTCAAGCATACCTTACACCACATCAGAGATGTTCACCTCTGAATTCAAATCAAGTCTTCCTCCTGGTTCAGTCCCAGCTGCACATTAAAAAACTGAGAGACTTTCCTCACCATGGACTGCCTCCTCTTCTGCACCTCCCTCTCTATCCTCTCCCTGTCCTCCTGGCTCATGATCATCCTCTCGGGGTCAGCGAGTGCACATCGGCGTATCCGGAGCCTGTCCGACGAGGTCGACCCGCTCCGTGACGACACGGAGCTACGGGCCTTCGAGTGCTGCCTTCCATCCCCGTTTCCCGTGTTCAGTGTGCTCTCCGACCCGCCGTGGTGCATGCCGGTGCCGATGATGTTTCCCCATTCGTTGCGCGTCGGCTTCCGCGATCGACCTCTCTCCAGCTGTTTCATCATTTGATCCAGATCTACGGTGAAGTCGTCCTCGTCGTCTGGGTCGATGTTATCTTTCCTCCCGTGGAACTTGGAGTCACTGACGAAGCCGAAAAATGAGGCCCCGTACCGCATACCCGGAAGGGCGACGTCGCTGACGCTCCTCCTCATGGGTCGCCGCCTCTGGGGTTTCTCGGTGTTCGGGAGGTACGATATTGGGCTCCGGCTGCTTTGACTTTGCGTCGCACACGGAGTCGATCTATGTGGTGAGCGAGAACGGATGACGCCGGCGGTAGGAATATTCTCCGGAAACAGGTCCTTTGCCTCCTCCGCCGCATCCAATGAATCGCATTTCGAGTGATTTCTTACCGTGAGTGACATGCCCGTGTCACCTACGTCACTGACATTACTCCGTGTAATGTTGTTGTCTTCACCTTTGTGAGTTTTTGAAATGTCATCGTCTGTAGTTACAGTAGCCTCGTGGGGACAGCAAATCGTGAATAAGCGATCCTCGAAATGAGTTTTCTCACAACTCTCTTTGTCAGCATTCATTTTAGTCACAGTGCTGACAGTTATCTGTCTTAGATTTTCAAACGTGACGTTTGGGAGTCTATCCTCTCGGGCGTTCGATGACCGTGTCCGGGAAATTTTTTTCGTCATATTTGTAACTTCAAAAGTGGAACAATCGCTCGTCGCACTGCTAATGTCGTGAGTTCTGAGCGCACCAGGTTTGCATATTTCCTTGACATCAAGTTCACAATCGCTAGTCGCACTGCTAATGTCGTGAGTTCTGAGCGCACTAGGTTTGCATATTTCCTTGATATCACGTTCACAATCGCTCGTCGCACTGCTAATGTAGTGAGTTCTGAGCGCACCAGGTTTGCATATTTCCTTGACATCACGTTCACAATCGCTCGTCGCACTGCTAATGTAGTGAGTTCTGAGCGCACCAGGTTTGCATATTTCCTTGACATCACGTTCACAATCGCTTGTCGCACTGCTAATGTCGTGAGTTCTGAGCTCACCGGGTTTGCATATTTCCTTGACATCACGTTCACAATCGCTCGTCGCACTGCTAATGTCGTGAGTTCTGAGCGCACCAGGTTTGCACATTTCCTTGATATCACGTTCACAATCGCTCGTCGCACTGCTAATGTCGTGAGTTCTGAGCGCACCAGGTTTGCACATTTCCTTGATATCACGTTCACAATCGCTCGTCGCACTGCTAATGTCGTGAGTTCTGAGCGCACCAGGTTTGCACATTTCCTTGATATCACGTTCACTGTTAAATTTGCACGGGTGTTGCGTACTTTTCCCCCCGCACAGACGTTCTTGCGCACCATTATTTTCGCTGTTCTTCCGGCCATCATCACCAATGACGTCAAATTTCTCGTTTTTAGCCTTTTCTAAAGCGTTTTTGTCCATCAATTTTAGACTCGCATTTGATGTCCCGCTGTCTAATCGACAATGACCATCGGCAGATTTGCGCAGTTCTCTTAAGGTGGGCTCTGAATGTAAGTGACTTCCATGTTCCTTCGCCTCGCTGACTTTAACGTTCTGACTGGAGCCTCGTTTCTCTGAACTTTCACTTTTCTTCGGCCCGGTATCCGGTTTCGGGTGTTCACCGATTCTGCTGGTTATGAAAAGAGCATACGGTAAATTCTGCGACGTCGTACGCTTGGGTGTCGTTATGTGAATCGTGTCGCCAGTGGGTGTCTTTAAGGGGAGCTTGCCTTTTTCTCTGGAACTCGGGGTCGTGATATGAACGGCATCGTCCGTGTCGTGGCCGGACGGTTTGTCTGTCGAGACGGGCGCCGCGATACGAGTCGCATCCGTCTGAGCGGGAATCCCTGGAAAATGTCTTATGCGGTTATCAGGTCTCGGTTTGACGAATCGAATGTCTGCCATCGGTCCTAGGACTTCTGTTTATTTGATTTTCTTGTCTTCATTGATCGATTTTGATCCAAAGTTTTCACAAGCGCTAAAAATCAAAAATAAGGTTGGATATTACAAAAATAATTTTGATAAATAAAGTATTGAAGCGAGGTCGAAATAAAAAAAATAAAAATCGGTCAGTCCATGATTTTTTTTTTAATTTTTAATGAGTTAGCAGCTTAAAGCATGTGTGAAGAGATGCGTAGTCGAACCTGTTTGACAGCAGTCATTAGTTATGGTATAACAGACAATTACAACGTGTCAATAATGATGAATTGATGAAACTCTTGCTTCACAAAACACACAGTTATGACAGGATATCGAGAAACACATGGTTATGAGGGGGGTATCGATGAACACTGTTATGAGAGGGGTATCGATAAACACAGTTAGGAGAGGGTATCGCTAAACACTGTTAGGAGAGGGGTATCGATAAACTCTGTTAAAAGAGGGGTATCGATAAACACTGTTAAGAGAGGGGTATCGATAAACACAGTTAGAAGAGGGGTATCGATAAACACTTTTCGAAGAGGGTATCGATAAACACTGTTAAGGGAGGGGTATCGATAAACACAGTTAGAAGGCGGTATCGATATACACAGTTGGAAGAGGGTATCGATAAACACATAGTTGTGAGAGGGGTATTGATAAACTGGAGAGGGGTATCGATAAACAGAGTTATGAGAAGGGTATCGATAAACACATAGTTAGGAGAGGGGTTTGGATAAACACAGTTAGGAGAGGGTATCGATGAACACATAGTAAGAAGAAGGGTATCGCTAGATGTGTGTTTATTAACGACCAGCACAGATACAAAAGGACAAAAACGTGTTACATTTTAATACGAACATAAGAAATTTCCCCGGGGGTGGGGCGGCGGTCTGACGAACAGGACAGTTATATTTACATACAGATCGCCTTCTTAGACAGGAAACGTAATCGACTGTTCGATAATGTTACGGGTGGTTGAACTGGTCAGACGCCTTCGCGCATAACGTTTGTGGAAATATTTGCATTCGAAGCACCGCTTTCTAACTCAGGGGGGGGGGGTCAGCAACCTATGCTATGGCACCCGTGTCAGAAAGGGCACCCGTGCCAAAAAGGGGAAGAAGGGCCAGAAGGGGCACGCCGGGGGAATTCCACCCGCACGAAAAAAGTTATTTAAAAAAAAAAAAAAAAAAAGTGGTTGAACTGGTCAGACGCCTTCGCGCATAACGTTTGTGGAAATATTTGCATTCGAAGCACCGCTTTCTAACTCAGGGGGGGGGGGTCAGCAACCTATGCTATGGCACGCGTGTCAGAAAGGGCACCCGTGCCAGAAAGGGGAAGACGCGCCAGAAGGGGCACGCCGGGGTAATTTCAATCGCATGTAAAAAGTTATTTAAAAAAAAAAACAAAAAAACAAAAACAGATGACTCTAAAAGTTTGTCTTGTACGGTAGAGTAATAGCTTGTTAGCCCGCTGGGTGAAATCCCATGTGGGCTCTATATTTCCAACAGGTTTCTTGACCCCGATTAAATGTTCTAAAGTTGTGACTACCATTAGTCAAACGTACCTTTTATTTTTATGCCTTGAAAATGTCCGAAGTAAGCCTAAAGAATTTGGTCCATTATAAAAATGTGTTTTTTGCAGTTATTTTTGTGTTCAGTTTTGTTTTGTTTTTTTTTTTTGTTTTTTTTTTAAGCGTACTAATATCAGTTACGACAATTTTAGATTATTTTTAAAAATTATATTCATCAATTTTAATAAATAACAATATAATGCAGAATCGATTTGATTAATATTACTATTTATTTTTTTCTTACCCTATAACGTAGATTCCATACTTTCAACATCCCATTCTCCTCCTCCATAACTTTACAGACTATAAGATTACTCTGGCGACCAGGACTTGCACAATGTACCCGTCGCGTCTACCGACAGCAGGCCAGTCTCGGTGGGCTCTGCTGGCCTTTCAAGTATTGACCAAAAAAAAAAAAGGAAAACTTGTCTTCCTGGCGGGCGAAAGCAGGAAAGAACATTGTGACGTCAGAGCCAGGGTGTCATCCAGACGACCTACAGATATGGCTTGGTGAAGCCTCGCCTCTCCGTTCTCCACCCTCCACTCGTTGAAGACTTACAGCAGCTGTTCCAAGCGCGGTACCGGAGTCCCGGTGTCGTAGTCGAAATCGCATATCTGGAGTTGGAACAGTGACATTTTTCTGAGACGGAGTTTTGTTTATGGCTTTCAAAGGCTCATCGTTTTTCGTTATTGAATCTTCATTCGGCGTCCGTTAATTGAGAAATTCGGTTTAATAATTTTCGTATTTTCTAAGTTTGTGAGAAACGAGAAGTCGTGTAGCGATAACTAGGATCGTGTCATCTCATACTCCAGCTTTAACGGATTTGACCCTAAAAATACCATCTCTAAACACTTTTATGCCCCTAAACCTGAACTTACCAAGCTGTAAGTACTTCTAAAACCGACTTCTTTAAGATTGTATGTCCCTTTAGACCAGTGGTTCTCAACCTTCCTAATGCCGTGACCATTTAATACAGTTCCTCGTGGTGTGGTGACCCCCTAATCATAAAATTATTTTCGTTGCTACTTCATAAATATATGTTTTCCGATGGTCTTAGGCGACACCTGTGTAAGGGTCGTTTGACACCCCCAGAGGGGTCACAACCCACAGGTTGAGAACCGCTGGTCTTCCAGGCTGTTTGGCAGCTCGCCCCCCTATTTGGTGTTATTAAATGCTACTCAAATCGATTACGTCAGTCGGATCATTTAACCAGGGCCTCCTATTCATAGATGCTTAAAGTTGTCACGAAAATTCGTTAAAACATTTTTACTGGTAGTACTTGATACTTGAACAATGATTGTTTTGAACCATATAACCTTGATTTTTTTATTTATCATTAAAAGTTTAATTTGTATCAATTATTTACTTAGTTTTGGCAACGTTCACTCGATTACCCAAATATGCCGGTACTTGGTTGCAGCAACGTAATCTATCAGTATCAGATTAACGCATCACAAAAAGATTTTAAATTATTATATTTTTTTTTGGTTGGGGGATCCCCAAGATGATGTCTTACTTGAAATCAAAGCGCGTATGGTGAGTCACGTGGTGGCTATAGAACAAGTTTTGTACGTCTCGGATGAATATCGAACTCTTTGCTTCCACTCTTTGAACCTGATGGAAAAAAAATCTAAACTGATTGGAAAAATTGGGCGGGGAACTCGTACCAGCTAGTATGGAACCACAGGTACTCCAGCCGTCCAACCAGGCCGGGAACTGATACCAGTTAGAATGGAACCACTCGTATTTTGACACTTTAACCAGGCCGGGAACTGATACCAGCTAGTATGGAACCACACGTAATTTGACACCCTAACCAGGTCGGGAACTCATAACAGCTAGTATGGAACCACTCGTATTTTGACACCCTAACCAGGTCGGGAACTGATACCAGCTAGTATGGAACCACACGTAATTTGACACCCTAACCAGGTCGGGAACTCATACCAGCTGGTAAGGAACCACTCGTAATTTGACAGGCTGACCTCTTAAACTTAAGGAAAATGAACTTTAAAAAATAAAACCAAAATTAAATGTATAAAATAAAATGAATTCTATAAATAATGGCATGATTTGATTGTTAAATTTGCTGTAAATGTTGAATATTATTGTTGAATAGCAAAAAAATGATCGAACAATTTTTATTTGTAAATTTTTGAATCTCTGATATTCTTAGTGAATTCTCAAATTAAACATCTATACTGCCAATACCATGCACTACACCAGCCACAGAGCAAAGTTTACCAAGTGAAAGGTCTAGGGGGAAGTGGGGTTGACTTGCACCACCCGGGGGAGGGGGGGTAGACGCCCCAGTATGTAGCGAATTCGAGCTTTCCAGCACCTAAACAAGAAATATAAGCAGTTGAACGTGTGGTTTTTTTTAAGCACACACAAATACATAATGTATTAGTATTAGCCAATGTATCTAATTTCGCTCACGCTCAATACAACATTGACTCATGCAAGAACGATGTTGATCACGTTCCCATGCCGCTGTTTGTGCCTTGAATCTGACCCAATAACCTTATCCGTGGTTTCAATTAAATTGAATACCGTAGTGTCTTTTGATATCGAACAGGCGAGCGCTCAGACCGGGTCATAGATCAACATGTCAATCAAATCTTGCAAGTGAAAGTCTTCCGGAAATAACCTTATCGTTGGTAACACGTAGTTGTTAGTTGTAATGGGTGTGCTGCAAAGATAACACATCTACCAGATCCGTTATACTATCCTCGCAACACTTAAAACATGAAAAAAAAAGTTATAAGATTTAATAATGGGTTGGGAGGTTGGGGGGGGGGAGTCTTTTCAAGGTGTTACCTGCATACAATGAACAGGAGAACGCAAGTAAAAAAAAAAACAAAAAACAAAAACTAGAAATTCGTGGTGTCAGTCTCTGGGACATCAGTATCTGTAGTGTCACTAACTGTGATGTCAGTATCTGACATCATTTAGTTTCCGGACAAGGGTCGGTACAGATCTATACGTAGCATGCTCAAGTATTTCTGTCTTCAAATATTTGATTTGCTTTAATCTCTCTCCCCCCCCCCCAAACCTTTTCCCGTAACGCGATGGTAGCCACATGCCATCATGACCATACAGCGCAGATACAATGTCCAGCAACCTCCTGCACTCCACCGTGTATACCAATCGATACATATAACCAAGACGAAGCCAGGCACACAGTTAATCCTTGCTTTTATTAGCGGGTTTAAGATAAGGAGTAGCTGGTTATCAAAGTGTTTTTTTTTTATGTACTTATTCACTCACTTATTCAGGAAACAAGTCCACGCTAGCAAATTAGTTCTTCCTATAATCGCACCTTGAGCTGCATGCCAAAAAATATTTGCAATTTTAACAAATGTCATGAAATAACTAAAGTGTAAGTAATGGTAACACCAAACGCTCCTAACATCCGACCACACCATCACACCACCCCACGACCGCACCACCCTACGACCACACCACTCACGACCACATCACCCCACGACCACACCACCCCACGACCACATCACCACCCCCACGACCACAACACCCCACGACCACACCACCGCACGACCACATCACGACCCCCACTACCACACCGCCACAGTGCTGCAAAGATAACACATCTACCAGATCCGTTATACTATCCTCGCAACACTTAAAACATGAAAAAAAAAGTTATAAGATTTAATAATGGGTTGGGAGGTTGGGGGGGGGGGAGTCTTTTCAAGGTGTTACCTGCATACAATGAACAGGAGAACGCAAGTAAAAAAAAAACAAAAAACAAAAACTAGAATAAGCGATGTCAGCTTCTGTAATGTCTAAAACCCTGTTGTCCATATCTGGGACATCAGTATCTGCGATGTCACTATCGGTGATGTCAGTATATGCGACGACACTGTCTGCGATGCCATTACGTGCGATGCCATTAACCGTGTCGCGAGTATCTACGATGTCTAAATTCGTGGTGTCAGTCTCTGGGACATCAGTATCTGTAGTGTCACTAACTGTGATGTCAGTATCTGACATCATTTAGTTTCCGGACAAGGGTCGGTACAGATGGATACGTAGCATGCTCAAGTATTTCTGTCTTCAAATATTTGATTTGCTTTAATCTCTCTCCCCCCCCCCAAACCTTTTCCCGTAACGCGATGGTAGCCACATGCCATCATGACCATACAGCGCAGATACAATGTCCAGCAACCTCCTGCACTCCACCGTGTATACCAATCGATACATATAACCAAGACGAAGCCAGGCACACAGTTAATCCTTGCTTTTATTAGCGGGTTTAAGATAAGGAGTAGCTGGTTATCAAAGTGTTTTTTTTTTATGTACTTATTCACTCACTTATTCAGGAAACAAGTCCACGCTAGCAAATTAGTTCTTCCTATAATCGCACCTTGAGCTGCATGCCAAAAAATATTTGCAATTTTAACAAATGTCATGAAATAACTAAAGTGTAAGTAATGGTAACACCAAACGCTCCTAACATCCGACCACACCATCACACCACCCCACGACCGCACCACCCTAC